AATTTGCATATTTTCAAAATAAAAACATCATTACCTATACACCTAACCATATTTCAACCAATAAAAATAGAACATTGATAAAAATAATAAATTATGCATTGTAATTATAAAATGATACTTCTTTTTTAGTTGTCATCGTAGAAAAAAAAATTGAAACATAGTGAGTATAATATTTCCTGTTAAGAACTTATTTTTTTACGGATTTGTTATTGGAAAGGCCTTTGTCTCTTTCTAAAACATTTCATACTAAGTAGATTGAATCATATATATAAACTTTTTTGGTTTAATATCTGATGTGTCTTTCTCAAAAAAAAAGTACCCGATGTGTGAAGAACTAGATGTCCTCATAAACCAAATGTTGTATTGAGACATACTATATGTTCTTTGCTGGAAGTTAGACGATCAACCAGAGTTGTATGTCTTTCATTAGATACCTAACCACTTCATTAGTATTATATTGCTTGGTTTAGACTTAAATCCTTATGGATTTATTCTTATCAAGGTTCCCCCCCCCCCCAAAGGATTTATGTCGAGTAGAGTTCGACAAATGTATATATTGGATTTTTTGTAGTTTAATATCCGATGTGAAACTTAATTTGTCTATTTATTCTAATACAATTTTGACATTTTTTTTTTTGTTATTTGAGGAGGAGTTGGATCATAAGACTTAAATCTTTCTTTTGGCCTCCGAGAAATGTTCTGACATTTTAGAAACAACACTGACCTACGTTAATTAACCTAACTTGTAAGTTATGATTAACTCGTCTTTTCCCCGCAATCGCCAAAACGATTTAGTACTAATTTGTAGACATTGACTATGTTTGATCAAGTCAACACGACAGCATTGAAGAAATCAAGTACAGCGTAATTGATTGTGTGCCTAGCCTAATCCATGTTCAATGAAATAACGAGGCAATCCCCAATTATAGATTTCCAGAAGCAATCTCTAATAATTACTCTTTCTTTTTTGAACAAATCTGCAATGATTATTCATCACTGCAAGCTTAGCCAACGGTCATATCAATCTGGTCATATAGTATAATATATTGATCTAGTCATATCCAGTACTGGTCATATCAAGCGATTTTTTTTTTTGCCAGTTTAAGCATCGTGGTAGTTTTTAACTTTTCAAACATGGACGTACATATATGATTCTTTCCACCGTATGTCAGTTACGTCACTATGCTGACGCACGTCACTACGAACGACTTACATGCATGCATGCACAGAGTTAATTGTGTATGTGTTTGTTGACCAAGAATTGTATAAAGTATATTAGGATATGATATATTATTGTATTGTATATCATATAACACTTTATATTCATATATAAGGTGATAAGCTTTGACATATTGCTAACACATATACTGTTAACTTTCCTAATCCAAATCTAACACATGTAGACATATAATAATAATATAGATATATTAGAATATTATTGGTTTATTCTTTAAATGTTTCTATTTATTTTTTTAGAATTTTCATGTGTTTCACAGACAGATTTCACAATCATGGTCTGTAAGAGACACATTTTACGGTTCAATATCTCTAATACTTTCCTACACAACGAATGTGAGATGCAACACGTAAATATGCAATTACAAAGAAGATCATGTATATCGTGGACACTATATCGAAAAAACAAATTAGTAGATTCTTTCTAGTTAAACTTTAACTTAGCCAAGTAGGGATGGAAACTTCAGCTCTTCTTTAGTCTTGACAATGAAATACTTTTCATAGGCGCAATTGCAACCCCAATTCCATGAACAACTGTCTTTAGTTTGGACAGTCCATAAAAAAGACTAAAAACTAAAAATTTAAACGTTCTATTAGAACTCTTCCGTAATGGTTAAATTATTATTATTATTTTTTTTTTATTTTTTTTGATAACCCAGTATCCGATCACTAAGCGTGATCGACTAGTCCACCGGGCCTAAGCCCATGCCATGACAGGATTTTTAAGCGTCTACTTAAGGGCCCCTGGTTACGTTAAGTGGTCTGGAGCGCCACACCAACTCCGCATGTAAATTATATGGTGGCCGGGCTTCGAAGTCGGATAGCGGGCACCTCAGCCGAGGTTCCTTTATCACCAGGCTACGAAACCCGGTTAATGGTTAAATTATAACCAACACTTTTTAAACTATGAACAAAAAACACGTTTGTGAAATTCTAAACTATAGACAGATCCCAAAAAAAATGAAAGAAACATAAACCCTTAACACTGCTAAACTCTCAGTTATTCTTTTGCACTCATCCGACCAAAATAATAACAAACTGAAATCTTTTGAATTAATATAACCATACTAAAAGCAAAACCAGTATAAATCACGTGACATACTTGATGTTTACTTGGACGTATTCGTCTGAATCATCTTGGCCACTTCTTTGCCACAACACTATATACCGATCGATGGTTAGCATCTTCAAAACTTAAATTTACAATACAGAAACTTTAACTTTGATCACTAAAAATTGAATACTCTAATATCATGTAAAATATAATAAAATATGATATGTGATTGTGTTGTGTATGATACAAGACTATATGTTCATATATATATAGTGATCAGCTTTGACATATTGCTAACACCATATTGCTAATTAGTTTTTCTAATCTAAATCTAACACAAAATATAGTAATAATGTAAACTGCTAGAATATTATCGGTTTATTCTTCAATATTTCCATTTATTCTTAAAATTTTTTATAGGTTTTACGGATGGATTTCACAATCATGATCTATAAGATACACATCTTACAGTTCAATATATCTCTACTAACCTGTTTCTACATTTCCCAGTTATTAGTACATACATGGGCTGTTTGAGTATGGATAAAGTGCGTAATAAATAATTTTATACACTTTGGTATTCTTACGAGAAAATACAATCAACAAGTAAGTATTACTTAACTGGTCCGTCAAAATAAACCATCATTCATGGATATACGCATGCAAATGTATGAGAAAGTGGCTCTCGAGTGTTCTCGGACGGTACGTTGTTCTTCCTCCAAACCCAACAGCCATTTCAGCTCTTCGTGTTACGATCGAGAGGGTTTAAATCCACTTTAAATTCTTCAAATCAGAATATCACCAAAACATGTATATACATAATACATACTTTCTCCGTTTCATATTAAGTGTTGTGGTAGAAAATTTTTTTGTTATAATATAAATGTCATTTTTAATTTTGATATAAAATTTATTAGTTTTATTTTACAAATTATTTTTCTATTGATTGAAATATGATTATATATATAGATTATTGTATTTTTATATAAAAATATGTAAAATTAATTACTTTTATTAATCCATGTGTACTAAACTAAAGTAACACTTAATATAAAACAAATTGAATATGATCTTGAAAACGAGAAAAAGAATAGGATCTGAACAAAAAAAGAAAAAAAAAAGAGAATATAGGAGATTCTATTTACAGACTGCTAATTTTAAAATTTACTATTATTTTCGTTTTAATTTATTTGTCGTTGTAGAGTAAAATTTTTGTTTTAAAATAAATGTTATCTTATAATTTTAATGCAATTTTTTTTATTTCGAGTATCATTATTATTTTTTGATTGAAATGTGGTTAAATGTATATCTAATAATATTTTTATTTTGAAATATCTAAAATTAAATATCTTTTAATTATAAAAACCTAAAATGATAATTAAATTGAAATGGAAGGAATAATTGGATACTTCTTCATATTTTACTCCATAGAACAGTCTCATATTTTATAAATCGATTTTCGGTGCAGAAAACAAAAACGTGTTAGACAGAATCAACCGAGGATACGTGAAATTTCGTTCGAACTCTCGTCCCAAGTTCCTTTTAATAAAGTCAAGTGTATTTATTGCTCAGTGCAGGACACGTGACATGAAGAATTAACAACGACTAGCGCCAAAGACTTCATCAAGGCTTATGTTCCACGTAATCTTTTTGTCGTCACAAGGAATTAACAACGACTAGCTACTTTAAGTGTGTTTTCTTCAAGTAAGTTTCTAATATCGTAATGGAATAATTTTCTAAAATTGCACTTCTTGAAAAAACCAATTTACTATACAAAAACAAGAGATTCCAGGCAAAAAAAAAAAGAAAAAGAAAAAGAGATTCATGGAAATATGACGGCTTGAGTTTTTTCTTGAGCAGAAATTCCACACACAAAAAAAAATTGTTTAATTAGGTTATTTAGGTGAATACGCGCCCAGTCTTTGAAAAGATGTATATCAAACTTAAGGAAAAAGTGGATATGAAAGCAATTTAGAAGTTGACATATTTTTCTCTCATAATAAATATACAATATACAATATTAACAATTATATTTAGGATCTCCTATCTTCTTCCTTTGATTTCATCTGCTTTTCTTTTATTCCAAGAGACCAGAACACAGCTGCTGATATGCTTGCAAAATCAGCTCTGCTTCAGGCATCTCCCTTGTACTAGACTACCACCTTATTATCTTTAATCCAAGTTTGTCGTTCAAAAAAAAAGAAGTTGACATATTTAAACACGTATACATGTCATTATCAAATAAAGCATTGAGTAATATTTACTACTATTTGATCAAGTATCCTCGAACCGTCCGATCAGGCATCCTCGAACCATCTCAACAACGTCATTATCCCAAACTGTACTTTAAAATATATCTAAAACTTATGAAAAGAGTATTAATTTTACTTTTTATCAACCATGTAAAACCGATTAATATGGAGTAATATTTACTACTAATTTATGTGTATATACTATATATATATTCTTTTATACATCTATAAAAGTGATTTAAAGTTGTTTGGTCCCCAACCGTTTGATTAATAAAAAAAAATATTGAGAATTTCCCAGAAACACAAATAAAACTTCCTAAACTGAGTTGAAATCACGTAGAAAAATCCGCGTGAGTTCGTCAAGTCAATTTGCAACGCACCTATATATACAAACATTCATTTTCTTTTCACTTCACGAAACAAAACGATAAGTAATCTCCTCTACCCAGGATTGGACTTATATCAATAAACACACATTGTAGACACATAACATATTAACATCAAACACCATGACGTATTCAACAATGAAACGGTCACTGGATATTGAGTTAATCTCAGCGGAAGGACTCAAGGTAGATCGAAAACCTGTGAAGAGAAAGACATTCTGCATAGTCAGGATAGATCAAGACATTCGGTTTTGTAAACCGGATGAACTAGGTGGGAGTTATCCGGTTTGGAAAGAAAAGATCGAGATGGACATGGCGATGAACGGTAGTGTAAGGTTTATCTCCATTGAGGTTTTATATAAAACAAGTGGTGGAGCTGACAAGAATGTTGGGTTCGCTAAGATTCCAGTGACGGATTTCATGGGAGGTTTTGCTCCTCAAGGGCATTTGAATTTCTTGAGTTACAGGTTGAGAGACGAGTATGGAGACAAGAGTGGGATCGTCAATGTGTCAATAATGGTGAAGCCTGACGGTAACAGTTTAAAATATTCATCGCCTTCGTTGGCGGCTCCAGCGGAATATGGTGTGTGTTCTTCACAGGCGGCGGCAGTGAATGGTCAGATGTGGAGACCGAGGACATCTTCATCAATGGCATTGACGGCTGGTTATGGAGGCCGTGTAGTAACCGGAGTTCCTGTTTGGAGTGCTTATTCACGGTCATCTTAAGTTTTTCTTGTTTTTACATGTTTGTCTGAACAGATTTTTCTTAATGTTTTTGTTTGCCATATATGAATTCCGAAATTCATGGTGAAAAATACGTCTGATTAATCATGAAATCTGGTATATAAATAAGTATTATGAAATAAAAATAAGGTACATTTTACCTCTGAAGTCCTCTAACATGACTTTTTATTGATCAGCAATCTGAACCAACAGAGAACAACAAACGTAAACAAAAGTTAATCCGCTTTTTCTCGAAAAAATATGATTTGACATTTTTTTACAATTTTAAACTAAGAGATAATTTTTATATCTATTATTTAAAAGACAGATTTTAACATTTCTTAATTAAAGAGATAGTTTTTAACCTTTCTTAATTAAAATTTAAAAAAAATTAAGAAGTGCCTCTTATCCGAAAATAAGAACCTTGGTTAAAAAATTGAGGTTAATCATGATCTAACAATGTAAAGTAGCTATAACATGGTAAATATCAAAAGCTATTGACATAATACAAATAAAAAGTTCAAAATTACATGCTACATTTTGTGTTCAGGATCCAACCATCACCTTTAATAAGAACTTTAATAACAAAAGAAATAATACAACAATTTAAAATCTCTGTTTTGTATTCCCTCTGTTTCTAAATAAGTGTCACTTTAGTCTTTTAATTTTGTTTCAAAAAATGTGTCATTCTACAATCCCAATGTAATTTTGTACATTAAATCTATTTTTTACCCTTTTGAATAACCAATAGTATTTTACTTAAATTATTTTCATTTAATTAAACATACATTAAATAGGGATATATTAGTCTATTATACAATTTTCTTAATTTATGTGCAAAGAGTTGACACTTATTTAAAAAGAGAGGGAGTATATTATTTCTTAAAATTTTGGGACTAAAGCTGATGTTTCACTTAATTGTGTCCAAAACCGGTTCTGCTTAACCCGACAGCCAACTTTGTACGTCGCTTTCAAACATTTTTTAACCATGTTACTTCAAAACTTGTCATCCGATTATACTATTCTAAAGAACCTGAAAACGGTTAACGACAGATGTTCTATGGATCATTGTGTTAGACACAAAATTACATACAATTACATGGGACATATTATACGTTGTAGGCTCGTAACATACTAGAAGCTCAAGCTTACATGACAAGACGTGGGGATCATCGACTGAAAGCCATGACAAAGACTAGTTGCTTAAACCTATACGTTTTTATAAAAGGTTTACTTGCTTAAACCTTACAACACTACAAGAAAACTTCACGGCTACTTCTGAGAACATAGGTCATCAGGTTAGAACCAGTCATGGACACAATCCAGTAAAATATTGGTCTTTGACCCCAATTTTTTTATAAAAATAATATACATATCTTAAATTATTATTTTTGTATCATTTTTTTCTTCTAAATATCTATGACCTCTTAAAGTTTAGATGCTTCCGATACAATTTATAGACGTGTGACTTAATAGAGCGAAGGAAACTTCCCTCGGCGTTTTGTCGAAACAATGATGATTTTCAGATACATGGAAACGTGCACTGGTTTGATTTTAACTGAAGATAAGTATTTATACAAGGACTTTATAGCAGCAGCACATTACACAAAAGGACCAACATAAACATTCTGCGATAACCCTGGACGCCAGCTTCTTCCACAAGCTTTTCAAGGTGCCTTGATCTTGGGTCGTGTAGGAAGCAACTGTGTTTATAGATTGACACGTAAATATCAGAAGAACAAAGACACGAACTTAGAAAGTACGTTTGTCGTGTTGTTACCTGGTAGCAAGAAATGAGGGAAGTGATGAATCCAAAAGCTCCGGTGACACGAGGAGTGATCTTCTTTGGATATAACTGAAGAAGACCAGCTGCTACAACAACGTCCATTGCTGATTTGATCAAAGCAAGACTCCTCTCGTTTGATTGTTTAAGCTTAGCACGATACTCATCATCCTGCATTTTACATAATTGACAAAACATGAATTCAGTTTTATAACAGAAAGATTCTCTAGAAAAAGAAAGATTGACAAACATTACTTGATACTTGTTGCCATTCTTAAGCCCCTTTTCGATCTTCTTCATGGATGAAGATAGCCTTCCTATCTCACCAATCTAATAACAAATATTAATATTCATTAAAAAAAAAACAAATATTAATTAGCTGCGGATTAAGGAATCATTGTGAAGCAAATAAAAAGACTAACCTCAACTAAAGTAGTACAGACAGATGATCCCATCCAGCAGAAAAGTGATATACGTCCAAGTAACTCAGCTCTCTCTTTGTTCTGTTGATGTAGACCATATAAGAACATTAGTTTTCAAACAAGAAACCTCAACTAAACTAGTTTGGTTTTCTCTCACCTTATAGATTCCTGATCTCCCAAGCCAGACAACTTGATCCAAGAACAAGAATGTAGACAAAAGTGCGTTCTTAGACTGCAAAAACAAAACAAAACACCCATCAAATAAGATTGATCCAGAACAAGGGGACTAAGAACTCTCTGCTTTGTCTGAACAGTTCACTTATGGGTTCTGTAAGAAAAGTAACAGAACTCTGAAGCAAACCTTTCCAAGTAAAACGAGAGGAAGTGGAGTTCCTTTAGGCGCAGGACTGATAAGACCATGCAGATCATTAACAAACTGCAACAATAATAATAAAAACAGAGTTAAAAACAGAGCGGAATTACAAAATGAAAAGAAAAAAAAAAGATTAATAAACCTTGAAAAGACGAAAGACTTTTCTGGCTAAGCTAGTGGATTTATCAACGTTTTGAGCAGTACCAGGTTGTCCACCGCTCAAGAACTTGGAACCATACTGTATAGCTCTGCATAGCTTATCCCTTGCCTCTGCTTTGTTCAGATACATCACCACAAGACCAAGCTCTGCTCTCGATACATCTAACGTACTCGTCATCTTCTCTCTCTGTAAATACACACACAAATAGCCCTTCAAAAGACGATAACTCAGTGATAGAGTAACCCGCGAAATTCAAACTCAAAACCAGATTAATAATCAAAAGTTGGATTCGATATACCTTTGAAGATGGTAACTCTGTTAAAGGCTCCGAGAGATTATGTGAACAGAGAGAGACTCTGTTTTGTGGGAGATAGGGCTTGTTTGGTCATCTTCGTTTCTCCATAAACAAACAAAAGAAAACGTCGCCGTTTGATAACGCACTGATCTCCTCAATCATTCTAAGCCGTTGATTTAGTTCGCTTTACCTGACATATTGTTGTGTCTACGAAAATCTTCCCAACAGTTGATTACTCTGTTAATATCCCGCGCGTCTGAGTAATGACGTGGCACACATCTCTAGGAATAAAGATTCCACGTGGTGCTGTACACATTGGGCTATTAACATATTCGATTAATTTAGCTATTAAAATCCCAATGTGGGCTTTTACTTAAGCCCATTTAACATTAAAAAAAAAACCGTTCTTCGTTTAAGTTAACCGACAAAACCATGTCGTTAGGGTTTTACACACTAATCCTTATTCACTTGTGTCTAAACTGAATTAAATCCCAAAAGCAGCCCTCCAGTTTATTGTCTCTTTCTGTCTCGATGGAGCACAGTGAGGATCAGACAAGCATGCCGGAGAAGAATATCAATAGCAAGCGTCAAGATCCGAATCCGAGATTTGCTAGCGAAGGTTGCAGCGTTCTGCTCGACGTGAACGATGGAGACCGTCTCGTCTTCGCTCGTCTATCTCCCGGCGCGTGAGTCTTCATTCCAATTCATTCTCAATCCTCAGTTATATTCGATTAACTGAATTTATCTTTTTTTTATTTATTTGACAGTATATTTAAAATCGGGAATACCAAGTACTCCTTGAAGCCTATGATCGGAGCTCCGTTTGGATCTCTGTTCCAAGTCGAAACCGGAGAAGAAGGTTCATTCCTCTCTCGCGTTCTTCCCATCAAAAAAGGTTTTGTCTTTCTCCCCAAATTCACATTGAAAGAATCTTTTTTTGTTTGTATATATTATAATGTTTGGTTATAGATTAGTTGAATTGGGGGTTTTATTGATAATTGTGAATCCCAGAAAGTAGCAGTAGTAATGTGATAGACGATGTTAGAGATAATAGAGAGCTTATTGACGATAATGAATCTCAAAACCTCACTGCTGAAGAGATTGAAGCTATGCGGAGGTTTGAACAAGACTAGATTTCTCTCTGTGTGTGTTTATTTAATATATGTTGAGAATTTGCTAACCTTTGTTAATTTGTAGAGATGGTGCAAAAGGGGATGAGATTATTGAAGCATTGATTGCAAATAGCAAAACATTTGACAAGAAGTTTCAGTTGTCTCAGGTAATATGTCTTTTACAGCTTACTTCTCTCTCTGCTTCTACACGGTAATTAATTTACTTGTTTAATCTCTTTTTTTTTTGGTTTTTATAGGAAAAATATCTGCTTAAGAAGCAGAAGAAGTATGCGCCAAAGGTGCTTCTAAGACGCCCTTTTGCTCGAAGGTTTGTATTTTTTTCTGTCTCCTTTTGTTTACTGTCTTCTTTTGTTTCTCTAATCTATTCGGATTTGTTTATGTTTTTGCCAGTATCTGTGAAGCTTATTTCAAGAAATATCCAGCTAGAATCGGGTATGTACACTTTGTTTCCTTCTTTAACTGTATTGGGAAGACCCTGAGTCCTTTTTGTCCTCTATTTAGATTCGATAGATTTGGTATTGATTGCTATTGTGTTTCTTTTTGCTGTTGTGGTGTTGTAGATTCATACGTGTAGATGCGTTATCTCTTTTGTTAACAATGGCTAATGTCACCGCATACTCGGATGTGCTTGTGGTGGATATGGTTGGTGGCCTTGTCACTGGTGCAGTGGCTGAACGTCTAGGAGGCACTGGTTATGTTTGCAATACATATAAAGGAAACTCTCCTTACTCTGTGGACATGGTTAGGATGTTCAATTTTACTGACAAGGTTATAGAGAGGTATGTTCAGCTTTCCTCTCTCTCTGTCTCTGTAGTTTCTAATTAAAACCATCTGTACTTGAACATTGCTGGACGTGTTGTGTAGGATCGTGCATTCATCTATACACGAGCTCTCATCACCCAAAACTGCACTCCCTGAAGAAAACAATCAACAAGTAGGAGTTTATAATTGTCAGATTAATAACAATGCAAGTTGCCAACCTCTACCGTTTCTCTTGAGTCTTAATTTTTTTATAAATCTTCTGGTTCTTACAAAAGGTTTTAATTGAAAAAAATGCAGGAATCATCTAAATCTGATATGATAGAAGATATATCTGTGACAGCTGAGGCCATAGTAGATGATGGTGTCACAGAGAGCAAAATTATCAAGGCCCCACAACCTGGAGCTAAAGCTTCTAAAGAAGCAGTAGAAATGTGGAAAGAAAACGGTTTCTCTAGGTAACTACCTTATAACTGAAACTTGGTTTCGGTTCATATATGTCGGTGTAATAATGTTTTTACTTGTGTCGTGTGGTTTTGCAGTTTAATCATGGCAGCACAAGACCAAGACCCATGGACTTTAGCTAAAGATGTGTTGCCACTGCTCTCCTACTCTGCTCCCTTTGCAATATATCATCAGTATTTACAGGTATATATGTCATAAGAAAAAGGTTTTCAATATGTTTTGGCTACAATAATTTTCCATAAAGAACAAAATCTCATGATATGATGAAAATTTTACAGCCTCTGGCGACATGTATGCACAACCTCCAGCAAGGGAAGATGGCCATCAATCTGCAAATAACAGAACCATGGCTACGTGAATATCAGGTGCTTCCATCAAGAACTCACCCTCACATGCAGATGAGCTCTTTTGGAGGCTATGTTCTTAGCGGCATCAGAATCTCTACCACCACTTGAATTCTTATCTCCAAAACCTCTTTATCATTTTCTAGAACTGAGGTTTGGTTTTTGATCCTTTTTTCAAAAGGTCTTTGTATTTTTGTTTGTTGTTGAGATATATAGGAAAACATTCATGTTTTGACTCTTAAAATTAATAAAACACTACTTTTCTTTATTGAAATATGTACAAAATCTTATAAAGTTCAAGGGAGTTAAATAATATCAAATGGTCAATAAATTGCTAGGCACTAGTTTAGAAGATTAGGCCATCTTTAACCCAGCACCCCTAATAATCTTTAACCCAACACCCCATTAGGGGGTGCTTATTTTCTTTTCTTTTTTTTTTCTTTTTTTTATTTGCTTTTTAAAAAAAAAAAAAAATTTAAACGAACCAATCACGGACCGTCACGTGTCAGTGGGACCCATGAATAGTTCAAACAACAGCAAAAGCAGAGTGCTTATTTAGGGTGCAGAAGCACCGTGGTTTGATGTTTTGGTGGGGCCGTGAGGGGTAAGCACCCCTGTTTCTCTCGCGTTAAGGCTGCCCTTAGTGACCAGACAGATTATTTGGGTCTAAACCTAGACGTTAAAATATTGATATCTATATATATTTTCTCTATTTTACATTTATATTATATATTTTATGTCGAATTATAGAACAATACTAGTGGTCCGTCCGCGCTGCGCGCGGGTTGTTGGATATTTTTATTAATTTAAATTTAAAATTTATTTTGTTGGTGGGTAATGTTATATTTTTGAATGTGGTTTGTTTATGAGAATGGTGGATTATGATATCAAAGTGATGGCATAATGGTTAGATGTTTACCATTTGGACTTTAAGTTAAAATTCTAGACTCGTAGATGTCATTATTTCAATGTAAAAGTTTTATTGTATAATGATCAGGGAAAAGAGAAAATAGCTTTTATAGTTTTTCTGCTTAAAATTTATGTGAAAACAAAGTGTAACCAATTATTCGTAAAGCAAATTGTACATAAATAAATCAAATTGAGCAGGTAAACAAAAGCCGAAGTCTTCTTTTAGTCAAATAGATCACTGAAACCCATTATCCTTCTGTAGAACTCGGTGACCAAAAAAAAGTGGAAACAGTTCGAGCAAACCGTGATATCTGTCCCCAGTTGGGGATGGCACTGATGGGGTGGGAACATTTTTTTTAGTAACGTAAGGAAGATATCCTTCATTTCAAACTGGGTGTGCTGAAGAGAATTATGAAAAGTTGCCATGCAATCTTCTAGCAGTGGAATACCTTGTTCATCAGCGAGTTTGTTAATGGTTTTTACTCCTTTGTCAGTTTCTCCGATGACCATAAGGAGGACGCCGTAAACATATCTTCCTTGGAGGTGACCACCATTTGAGGGTATGTGGATGTGATGTAGGCCTAGAAACTGATTGCGAGAGTTGAAGAATTCTAGCATGCCTTTAACATAGTGAGCGTCGGCATTGTTAGCGTTGAGGCAGTTTTGCAGGAAATTTGGATAACGATGAGCTAGAGCAGGCTTCTTCACCAAAGATGAGAGGTTTAGATTCTTTGCAACTATGAAGTTTTCAGAACTGAAGCTGAGGCTTTTGGATGTCATAATTGTGTTGACGTAGTCGGTGGGAGAGTCGTGGCCAACTTTGGAAACAATTAGGAGACGCATGTCTTTGGGTATTGATTCAAGGGTGAGGGGATATTGTTGTTCGTGAGTCATGGAAATGGTTGGAAAATGTTTTTTGGTTTTTTTTTTTTCTGTTGACGATGTCGTTCTTAGTTTCTTTGTGTTATGCAGTTGTTTATATAGGACGGTGGTGGTGGCTCTGCGTGTGAATTCGTTTACGTTTTTTATATAAATTTATTATAAGGCATAATCTTGCGTTGAATTTGTATGTGCTTTTACTGTTATTATTTCTGCTGTAGCGTTACACGTACGCTGGGTGGTCTTTTGTTACTATTTATTATTTATGTTCCTTATGATTTTGCTAGTCTTTAATATTTATAATTTACTTTGATTAGTAATTTATACATGTGTATTTCATGCCATTAATTTCCTGTGTTTCTGTTTTGAGGAAGATTTGTGTTAAAGAGCGTCAACATTATCGTTTTTAATGCATCCTCATATTTGTTGCTATTTTTTATTTGAAATTACGCTGTTTGTGTTTAAATTTTATCTCCTCTATTATTACGGATTTCTTAAAGTTTAATTTTTTTTCTCCAAACGTTTGAATGGGTGTGGGGTCAATATAATATTTTTGGTTTGGATGTTTTTTAAAACTATTAAAAATCTCATTTTGTAATGTTCTCGTATTATGCAACTGTTGTTTGTAATGTATTCGATGTAACCGTATTGACGGAAGCCTAATTCTGCGAATTTCTCTCAGTTTCAGCGACGTTGTTAACGTAGTATTTTTATTGGTTTTAATTTTAAATTTATTGTTTTGTTTGGTTATTTTTTTTTCCTTTTATTTTGTGTATGACAATGTTCTTAATTCTTTAGTTATAGATGTTTCTGAATGATTTACCGTAAATGTTTATAGTCTTGTAGATTTGTTTTTTCAATTATTGTTTAGTTGGTATTTTTTTTTTGTTTGAATATTTTTAATGGTGAAATTGGTGGTTAATATTGTAGGGTTTTAGAGTTTCAACCTTGTTCTGTAGTCTTTTAAACGCGTATTGTAGGAAAAAAATAGTAGTTGCTTAAATATGGGAAAAGAGAAATGATAACATTGGGAAAAGATGACATTACTAAACTGTGAAAGTAAATTTGTAGATCTGTTTGTAATAGTAGCAGTGCTCACATCGAACCCGCATCTGGTATCGGTGACATGTGATTGGTTCTCTAGCCTCTCTGTAAGCGTCCATAGTGGCGTCTAGAGTTATAACTTGGACGCCATGAAGTGACTTCTTAATGTTTCTCCAGCAGATGTCGGCACGTTTCTTGTTGGTTCTCCATCCGAGTGAATCGAGCATCGTTCTTCCTATTTCTTGTTGTCCACTACACATCATTATTAGAGCATAAAGGTATATGGCGTTGTCGTACAAACCTTCTGCAGCGATTCTGATATGAGGCAAACCAGCGGCGATGTTGTTGTGGTGGAAATATTCTTGTAACCCACGTATGTAGTGAGCTTGGACGTTACCGGCGTTAAGGCATCGTTCCATCAGATCTTTGTAGATGGTTAGGGTTGTGAGAGGAAAGACTGTGAGGGTGTGGAGATTGATGTTCTTGTATACGTGTGGATCTGCGGCAACGTCGGCTAGAGTAGGGGATGCTATAATGAGGTTGCGTAGGCCATCGATTGAGAACTTAGCAGCCCGTGACATTATTTCTTGTTGGAGTTCTGTCGGGAGGAGCTCAATTTGAGCGAGAGTTCTTGTGCGGCGTTGCATTACGAATCTGCCAATTTGGTATATTTTTCTGGTGATTTCTTTCTATGTTTTGCGTTTGTTATATAGAGAGTTTGAGTGAGGTTTGTGGAAGAAGAATATTTTGGTAGTTATGGTGTTTGAATACATAATATTGGATAATAATTTACATATAATGTTACGTTTTTTCGATCGCTTAAATTGCGTGTTTTAGTTTAATTGGACTGTAGAAAAAGGCCTTCACGTAAGACTTTCAAATTTGGGTTTATAGGCCACCCTAAACCAAGCCCATCACCACACATCAAACCAAGATAGCAAAACCAATTTAGACCAACACGGGATTGAAAATTTTTGTGGATTCAATTTAAAAAAATGATTGCTGAGGTGTCTTTTTTTGCCTCCCTCACAAAAGTTGAGTTGGACACCCTAAGAAGGGAGAATAGTCAACTTTATTGTATAAGATTTTGGATACTTATAAAAATTAGAAACACAAAAAATTAGACATATTTATAATTTATACCAAGGTTGGGTAATAGGACTCTCAATCATATTTTGGTTCGGATTTCAAATTTCGGTTTTATGAATTTTCAATCACATTCGGATAGTATAAAAAATAAAGTCGAAAACTGAATTTAGTCGGGTTCAATTCAGATTTATTTATCTGTCCAAGGTTTGATTGGATCCAAAATAGTTTTGGGTTATCAGTTCTAAAATACAAATTGATATTTGATTAAATCAATATATATTCATTCATCTCGATAAGTTTGTGATTTAATTTTTTCAAACCATTTTATGTCGTTTAAAATAATTTTGTAAAATTCGTTTATAAATGAGACTTGTAATTTCCTATATATTATTTGAGAAGTATTTTTTTTAAGTTATAACCTTTTTATCAATGCTGACGCGGCAGCACACAATCCTATTAATAGTTGAATATAAAATATATGTAAATTTAAAATTATAGAGAGCATGAAAAATCAGTAAAATTAAAATAATATATAAAGCTACATAGAATCAGTAATAAAATCGGTCTAAAAATAAGATATACAGGATGATTATCCGCGCTCATACGCGGGATTATATACAAAATAATTATTTGAATACTAAATTAGATTATTGACCCATCATTTCATAAGTTCTCAGACATATATTCATAAACCATTAATATAAGGTTATTGAGTATGTGGCCATATTGATAACTTTATTTAACTTATTTAAGTTACACTGGATTTCAATGGTATTACCGTGATGTTACCATTCACATTTTTACTTCAGTATAAAACAATTATATTTTTTAAACGATATGATCAAATAACATTTGATATATGCGCTTGGTGGAATGAATATTAATTATGTTTTACTACAAAAAAGAACATTAACTATGTATACAAATTATTTATACATATAATTAATTTTTTTTGTTCATTTACGTATTATGCAATAATAAATATAATAAATAATTGAGAATTAAGTAACTATGATGTATATAAATAAACTGGAATAAGCACAAAAAAAATACGTACTTTTATTTACAATAATTTTGTTGGTAAAAAAGTAAAACAATCATTTATTTATTTTATACCGCATATATAAAATTAAATAATATTGACATAGATATATAGTATATTTAATAGCAATATTTATTATTGAGGTTTT